TTGGCTAGGTATTCTTGAAATGTGCTTCAAGATTCTTTCTGCAATATTTAACTTTTGGTTCCTCACACCTTCTGCATTTGAAAATATTCATTTTCCAGGCTTTCCGGTCGCTCAGATGCTATCTTCAACCACTTCATTCGCCATTTTTCGTCTTTTCATCGCGAGTTCAATATCACCAGCTCTTGGCAGGCCTCTGCCTGGCGCGGCGTGTCAAAAAGAATACACCGATTATTTGAATGCCACTTAAAACGTGCATAGTTTGGTTTTAATAATGTCGCTTTCTTTCAACTTTGCATAATTAAAAGCCCCTCCATTTTTCATATGCATGTATCTACGTATTTTGCCTAGGAAATCACTGCTATAAAAAGGATTATTTGTTTTCTTTTAAATGGCTCGGCTTTTGAAGCTGTTTCGACGATTTGGGCTGTATTTTAGCTATGAATCATGATCAAGTATGGAGGGTGTTTAGGTCTTTAATCAGCCTGTTGCAGTTGTTCAAACTGAGCTTTGCTTGATAATATTCGCTGTTCATCTCAGTTTTCAAAGCCACACTGTGTCCTCAAGCGGTTAGATATAGCCGACGTCTTTCATTTCTGCCTGACTCATTGTGATTACGTCTCTCCAATATTTCTATTGATACTTGGCCCTTAACAATATTATGATATCAACCTAGCATACTGTCATTTCTTTATTTCTATAGATAGCCATAATAGATTTGGTACTTTTTAATTCAGGGTATGTTATCTGCTTGATTTACAGATGCCCTGATCTTGCCTTTCACAAAACACACCTAATAACGTGACCTCCAAGCTAAATGCATCTTGCCCGACACATTCATAACCTCTAAAGGTTATCCCGCATTTCTCTTCTGACAAAAATCAGTCTTCAATATTGCCTATTTTATTTTCTTCCCATTCCACCTCCTGCTCCGGTTGCTCCTTCATCTGCTCTGCTTGTTCATCAAGCAGCTGTCCCTCCGAGACGCCTTCAAGCACGTTTCTTGCTTCTACCTCTGCTGTTTCTCCTCCTCCGAGTGAATTGACGGCCGATGTCTCTAGCCTGTTGGCTCTTTCCGCTTGCAGTACCGGTCCGGGACTCATGCAGTGCTGCTCGGGTGAGATCGTTGCGCTCTCTATTCTGCCGTTCAACTCGTCCTCGACCACCAGCACCGCTTCAGCCAACACAGGCTCCATCTCTTCTGTCATACCTAACAGCCTGAACTCGATGCCCTACTTCAGCTTTTCCCAAACACCCTCCTTCACTTCACTATCTTCTTCTTCTTCTTCACCCTCAATGTCCTGCCACTCCACCGTCTCTTCCATATCCTACGTATCTAGTCTATCCCCACCCAGTCAACACTTCTTGACCAACGCCTCCTCACGTTCTTCCTCCTCTTCCTCCTCGTCCTCTTCCTCTTCTGGTTTCGCGTCTTCGGCTCTCCCATCTTCCCCATCTCCATCCTCTTGCTCCTGCTTCTCCTCATCATCCTCATCTTGCTTCTCCTGCTCCTGTTCCTGTTCATCTTCTTTATCCTCTTTCTCCCCCTCCTGTTCTTGCGCCTCATCCTCTCCATCTTTGTCCAATACTCCAAACTGCTTTTGTTCGAGTAACTCTAACGCACCGTCCTCTAGTTTCGCAGAGTCGGATCACATCAATTTGGCCCTTAGACCTGGTCATATTGGTACAAAGAGTGTCGTCAATCCTGTTTATGAGGCCAACTCGAAAGCGATCGGTGTGGACTTGCACGGTTCTGCTACTGCTTCCGATGAGACTACCATTTCGAATGGTTGGTTCTGGTCTAGTCCCGTTGTGACAAGAGATGTCCGAAGCCCGGATCTTGACCCGACTCTCCCTAGCAATCATACTGCAGATGAACCTCTCTGCTCCACTGGTATAGTGAGCGGGAGTAGGCCGGAAGGACTGATAAACCTGGTATGTGATTGAGTGAGAGAGCATTTTGTGGTTGAAGCGAAGCGGAAGAATTCCACAGAGCTTTGTTATAATAAGAAGGAATAAAAAGGTTGTGTATGTATGTCTTTTTTAATATAATTGCCTAAAAGTTCCTTTCGTGACTTAGGGTTTTAGGTCCGCTACTAGCCAATCTAAGTCTGTAGCAACCTCCAAACCATTCCAGCACTGATAGGTCCATCATCCAATACTAGAAACTCATTTTTCTTATGACAGCGTATGCATTTGCTTAGGTTCTTGTAAACTTCGGCATAGCCTGTCCTTCAAAGCG